ACCAGGCGTGTGTGTGTGTGCAGATAGAACACCCAAATACACAAAACAAACTTCAAACAGATAGTCTTCCTAAAGAACTATCACCGGGAGCGACAAGATGGCTCAGGAGTAAAGACACTTGCCTGATACCCCAGGTTGAGCCCCCAGAACTCACACAGTAGGTGAGAATTCACTCTCAAAAGCTGTGCTCTTACGCCCACGCACGCTCACAAACACGCACTGAATAAAAGCGTAACTCTCAAGAAGTTAGCACATGGCAAGAGAATGGCTGAAACCGAAGGTGACGTAGATATGACAGGACGCTGGGTGCAGAGGCGCACACCTGTAACCCCAGCACTCAGGGCCTGAGGCAGTCAGTTCCAGGGCTACCTAGGCCACAGTGAGACCCTGCATGATGGTTCTCCTTCACTACCTAGATTTAGAATCATCATGAAAACACACCTCTGGATTTCCAGGTAAGTTTAACTCAGGGAAGATCTACTCTGAATGTGGACATCGCCCCCTAGGGCTGAATAAAAAGGATGAAGTCACCTGAGCGCGTCATTCATCTCTCTGCTTTCTGCCCACGGGTGCAAGGCGACCAGCTGCCTCAGGCCCCTGCCATGTCTTGTGGATTGGTCACAGAAAGAGACCTGTCCTTCTTTTAGTCGCTCTGTCGGAGATCTGACCACAGCAACAACGAGAAAGGCTCTAATACACCCTGCCTTTAAAGCGGACGGTTGAGGAACGGTGAGGAGACAGAGGACGGTCAATTATGTTTAGTTGGCGGGTGCTCCAGCCCAGACTACCCTGGAGACCTTCCTGCTCAACTCCTCCAGGAAAGCAAGTGACTGACAGAAAGAGGGTGAGTCAGGGCCAAGGCAGGAGAGTGTGTAGAAAATCCCTAACCCTATATCCGGGGAGGGGGGCGGCACCGAAGGTGTCTAGGCGTCTCCACGGTGACCCTTAACTATAGATTTCCCATTGGGAGGTCGCATCGCACAAACTCTCTAGAAGGCTGCACGGATGGTGGGGAAACTAGTGGAGGAGCCAGGAGGAAGTACTGGGAGCCTCAGGGCCTCCCGTGCCTTCAGCAGGGGGCCCCAGCAGTGAATGGAGACTCTCCCCCGGAGCTGGACCTCGACGTATCTCCAGAAAACCTTCGTCACTTCTGGGGGAGGCATCGGAGCCGCCCGCCCGCCCCTACAAAGCACGTCCTAGGGACCCGGTCCTAGGAGACCAACCAGTACGGACCATCCTGCCACCCAGCTGGGGAAGCAGACAGTGCAGAGCACGCCACAAGGCTGCTGTTCCACTGAGCTTTTCAAGGGCCGGGACCCCAAAACCTGCATTGCCTCCCAAAACCCAAAACAGACTGACCCGGGAACGCTGCTCGGGACGCACAGAGAAAAGACGAGCCCCTTGCGTGCAGGAGTAGTGTGTTGGGCCGGGAAAGGTCTGAACCGGAACTGGGCTGCCGTAGGTTCAGCGGAACTTCTTGACGGCGTCGTAAAAAAAAAAAAAAAAAAAAAAAAAAAGCCCGAGTGCGCAGGCGCGTGTGGGCTAAACTGAGCTCACGGAGGGGCGGGGTGATGCGGTGACCAAGAAGGGCGCTAGGGGGCGCGCGCGTCCTTCCCTGGTCAGCGGCCCAGAACTCCAGCCTGCTGGGGACTAGGCTTGGCCTTTGAGCAGGAGCACAGACATGTCCTGGGAACATGTTTTCTTATGAATACCCGTGAGGTGTAGGTGTGATGCATTTTCTCACGGTTTACCCAGACGTGAGAAGGATGATAAAGGACACTATGGATGAAGGACACTTAATCCGGGGGATGTTTTTCCATCTTCCACAAAAGGTGTGGCTCCAATGCTTTAGTAACAGTCGTAGGATTACATGTATTTATTTGTTGTGTATTTCTATGGGTCAGGAAAGTGATAGGACAACTTGCAGAAATGAGTTCTCCCCTTCCATCAGGATCAAACCCAGGCCATCATCCTGAGCAGCAGGCAGTTTTACCTGCGGAGCCCTCTGACCACTAATATTTCCTCTGTGTGTCTGTGTCCAGTGTGCCCACATTCCTGTGAGGAGAGACCAGAGGTCGACACTGAGTGGATATCTCTATTGTTCTGGGACTTATTTTTAAGACAGGGTCTATCTTACTGAACTTGGGGTAACCATTTCTGCTAGCTGGCAGCATCTCAGGAAATCCTTCTATCTGCCCCACAAATACATCGCTGGTAGCTGTTCTGGGGTCATAGGTGTGCACCAACACACCCATCTTCACCTCTTTCTTTCTTTACCTATTTATTTATTTATTCTTTCTTTCTTTCTTTCTTTCCTTCCTTTCTAGGGAACTGGGAATCAAACTCAAATCTTCATGCCTGTACTTTACCCACGGAGACTCCTCCCCAGCCCCGTAATCGTTTTGTGCTGTTCATTGGTTGGTTGTTGCTTGCTTGAAAGAGCCTTGCTATGTAGCCCACGCCGGCCACAAAATCAAGATGCCTTGGACACTGGGATGACATATGTGCCCAGCTCTTCCTGTGTTTAGCTGACCTTGATAAGAGGAAATGCAAAAGGCAGTGAACGTGGTCATTTTTTCCTGAAGTCCATTCATATCAACAGGCATATGACAGCTGCATGATGAACTGATTTATTTCACCGCGCTGGAAGTGAAACCTAGGGCCCCACACATGCTAAGCAAGTGCTTTCCAGCCGAGCCTGTCCTGGCACCACGTCTTTAGTTAAAACATCCTAGCAGCCACATTTGAAATGGTATGAAACAGTAACCTGAATTGTTTGGTTTTTCTGTGCTAAGTGTGGAACTCAGGGCCACACATGTGCTGAGCAGGTGTTCTGCTGATAAGCGGCATCCTCAACTCTAAGCTCATTTTAATATTGTGTGTGCGGTGTGCTTGTGTGTGTGCGTGCTCATGCGTGCAGAAATGTGCATGTCACCAGGCACCCTTAATAAATATCAAAATTCAATAGGCAGAGGCAGGTAGATTTCTATGAGTTGAGGGCAGCCTGATCTACACAGGGAGTTCCAGACCAGTCAGGGCTAGCTACATAATGAGATCCTGTCCCAAATGGGAAGAGGAGGAGAGGGAAGAGGAGGAGGCCCTGTGCCTGTGGAGGCCAGAGGTCAACCTTGGGTGTGTAGACCAGGCTGGCATCAAACACAGAGCTCTGTTTGCCTCTGCCTCCTGTTTGCTGGGATTAAGGGCACGCAGCACCACACCTGGCTTTGGTTTCCTTTTTGAAACAGGGTCTCTGGCTGGGACTTAGAGTTCCCCAGTTCAGCTGGGGTGGCTGACCATGAGCCCCGTGGATCCCCCTGGCTCTGTCTCCTCGGCACCAGGATTACAGCTGTGCACCAACATATGTGACCATTCACGTGGGTTCTGGCAATGTAGTGAGGGCTCTAAAGAGTGAATTATTCCTGGAGGGACCCTTGTACTGCTGGGTGCTCCCCTAGGACCCCGGATTAGGTACAGACCACACCCAAACACCAATTTCCAAGCACGAATCAAACACAAAGAGATCGTTTATTAAGTAAGGCGAAAAGACCAGGTGACTGAACCCTAATCAAGCAGAAACAGCAGCAAACAGCTTTGCAAGCGTTAGTTTCAAGAGAGAAAAGGGGAGGTTTGTGTTTGAATGAGGCAGGGTGTGTTGGTGAATTCTGACTGGGTACTTAATCTGGTTAGTCAAAATAATAATTTTGATAGCTGGACTTTGATGTTCTGATAGCTGGACCTTGGTGATCAGCCTCAGGAATGAGTCAGTGGCCAATAAGAGAATAGACATTGAGGGCTGGCTTCAGGGGTGTAATCTAATGGTTTAGCAAGGGTGAGGGAAGGGGAAAGGGCAAAATCTGCCGGTGCCATGTTTGCCGTGCTCGGGCCTGTGTCTGCCGTGCTCGGGCCTGCTAAAGCCCTTCAATCCCCTGACCCAAAATACTATTTTTTAAATGTTTTGCTTTGTTTTAAGAACTAGGGAAACGGCTCAGTTGCTAAGAGTGAAGGGGGCTCTTTTCCAGACCCCAATTAGGCACAAAGCACACCTCAGAGATCCTTCAAGCGGGGAAGAAAAGTTAAAGTGGCTGCTTTCTGACAGGCAGGAAAGCAGAGCCAATGGCCTTGTGCGTGTCATTCTTAAGAAAGGGGAAGTCTGTGTTAGAATGGGCTAGGATGCAGTGATAAAAGAGATAGAGGATGAGGGAGAAGGGGATGAGGGAAAGGGGGAAGGGTATTTGTCTCAGAGGGACAAAGGACTGACTGTCTCTACATAAAGGGAGACAGACACAGCACACAGGCAAATGGTATATATATATATGTGTATATATATACACATAACGTGTGTGTGTGTGTGTGTGTGTGTAAAAGGGAAAATTCCCTGTTAGGATGAGGTGTTCAGTTTTAATTTGGTGAACCAAAGGGGGCTTCTGATTTCTGGACTTTGGTAGTCAGCCTCAGGAGGAAGTGGCCAAATGAGGGAATAGACCTTGGTGGATAACTTAGGAATGTAATCTCACAGTTTTTAGCAAGGCAGAGGGGACAGAGAGAAAGACAAGGCCTGCCTGAGCCACATGCTCAAGTGGGCTAGTGTCCCTTCAGAGAGTACTAGTTGCCCTTGCAGAGGACCACGGTTCAAAACACCAGCACCCACCTGGTGGTTCACAACCATTCCAGGAATTCAATGCTCTCTTCTGACCTCCACAAGCATGAGGCATGCATGTGGTACAGATACATGCAGTCATATATGCAGTCAAAGCACCCATAGCATAAAATGGACAAATCTAATTATTTTTAATAGATTTGTTGCATTTTTATTAATTTTGTGTACATGTGTGTATACTTGCATGTGTGTGTGCCGTAGCATGAGTAGAGGTCAGAGGACAACTTTTGTGAGCCAATTCTCTTCCTCCACCATTTGAGTCCTTGGGGCTGACAGCCCCAATACTGCTTTTTTTTTCTTTTTTTTTTTTTTTACTAAAATCTCTTTATTGAAGCACACTTGGTACAGAAAATTTCACAGATATTTAATGATAGACATGACATTTTGATATATGCTTATGTCCAGCAACCATTACCACCACCAAGGCAACAAATTAATCACTCTCAAAACCATATTCATATGCATTTATAATCTTTTTTTCCCCAATACTGCTTTTAATTAGTATAATACCTCCCATATTGTCCTGGTGGGCTTTTGTCAATTTGAGAAAATGCCTCCAGCATCTGAGAGGTAGAGGCAGGAGTATCAGGTGTTCAAGATCATCCTTGGCCTCACAGGTCAATCTTGGAAGTAAATGAATATTAATATTTTTTCCATTTGCTCAATTTCGATCAGTGAACATTTCTACTGTTCTAAAAACAAACAAATAAAAAACAAAGCAACAGAAACAGTAAATATAACTGAATATGGTGCTGAATGCACCAGCTCCCATGGTGTAATGGTTAACGCTCTGGATTCTGTATCCAGCGATCTGAGTTCATATCTTGGTGGAACCTGTTCCTTGAGGAAGAGACCTGGTCAGTCTTCTTCATCAACCGAGACCATGAAACCCAATATAAACGGGCTGCCCATGTATGCTTCAGCACTGCAAGGGACTTGTTTCACCTTCTTTTCAAGGTGCTGTGTGCCTATAGCCGCTGCACACTGGAGGCTGTGAACGAAGGAATTGGACCTTATATGGACCCTTCTCCAAGACTGAACCACCGCTTAGAGATTCGGTGGTGGTGGAGAGGCTGGAATGTTGCAGGTCTGGAACCTAATTACAATGTCTGCTTGGTTCTCATGGTCTGACCTTCTGAAATGTATCTACTAGCAGAACACTAGAGTCCAGGAGATAATATCTGAGACCTGTAGCAGAGATTTCTCCACTTTGTTGCCTGCCTAGTTGATGTTTCTGCCGATGTATTTGACAAGCATTTTGCATCTCCCACTATCTATAACCATATCTAAACACCACTATTTAATAACCCCCCAAAATAACCATAATTACATTTTTTTAAGTCTGGCTTAAAGATGGTTCTGAACTTGCAGCAATCCTCCTGCCTCTGCCCTATCAATGCAAACACACAACTCTCACTTCAATAGTAATAAGAGACAAGTTTATTCTGGAGGTAAATTGTCAATGGCTGTGGCCCAGGGAACACAGATTTATGTCACCCTCAAATTCTATGCTATGCTGTGATAAAAAGTCTATGACGTCTTCCTAGCGCCAGAACAAAAAGAAATCAACACACTGGGGCGGGAAGAGCTGACCCAAATGAAATCGTTAGGGCAATTTATTCGACTTTAAAATGAAAAGCCCAGGGCGGGCAAACTGTAGGTGAGGGCAAGGCAAGCAAGGTGCCCAAAGGAGAACGAAGACAATAAGATGTCGTGGAGGTTAATCACACGTGATGGGGACTGGAGCTTTAGAAAAAAGACTAAGGAAGCCCAAGCCAAATCGTTACGGAGCTTAAAACTGTACTCAGACAGGGGCCATCATCCTAAAAGAAAAGAAAAAGGGCGAGGGGCGGTGCTTATAGACTCAGCTAAACCTAATTAGTCCAATCTGTACTGAGGAAGGAGAATTACATCACCTGAAACTGAAGCCGCCTCCCAGCGGGTGGTCCTTAGCAGGACCCTGACCCACCCCATTGCATTAACCCTTTGGAGAGGAGACAAGGGCCCTGGAGAAGACTGTCGCCACAGCAGATCAAGAAGCCGGCGTTGGGTAGCGCAAGGGTCCAGAAAAGGATCTTGGAGGCGAAGTGGGGCCTTGGGTGCTTCTCCCGATAAAGCAACGACAGACACTCTTGTGGAATGGGGTAGAAGTCAAGAGCCCTACCCCACTATGCATGCACCAGGACCCGGACCCGGGTTTGTAGGGTTGGGGTTGGGCGGTACTGCACGCCAGCCCAGAAGGGGATTGTGCAGAATACGTGGGAGACCCCTCTACCTGTATGCTCTGAGAGGCTGAGCTGAGCTGCTCCAAGACTGGTGTCTCAAGACCTCCCCGTCAACTCCCCCACCACACTCCGCCCCAAGAACAATCCAAAGCAGATAGAATGGGAGACGCAGCTGAGATCCACAAAGAAAGGACGAGACCGATGCAGGAAGAGCTGGGGTCTCACCGAAACTGCACCGGGCTGTTTGCAAGCGTTTTGAGTCATTAAAAGGATACCATGCGGGCTCAAGTACGGGGAGGGGCGGACAAATGCACACCCAGGTTGTGCGAGAGAGCAGCCGCAAGGGGGCGCGCATGTCTACCTGACTCAGCAGCCTATCTGAAATCTACCCTGAGCATTTTTCTATTTTGAATTAGCTACTTAATGACATTTTCATACTTATCTAGTTTGGGTTGACTCTTCCCTTAAATCTCCGCTCTTCCATCTTCCTGGCCCCCAATCCCACTATGACCCTACCTCCCCAGTATCCTTTCCACTTTCAACATATATGTATGTGTGTATATATGTTGTATGTATACATATATATATACATATATGCATATGCGTGTATAAAGTTAGACTCCACATATAAGAGGCAGCATTTTGCCTTTCTCAGTCTGGCTGATTTCACTTAACACAGTGATTTCCAGTACCATCCATCTTCCTGCAGATTTTTCTTTTGTGCTGAATAAATTCCATCGTGTATATGTGCATCACATCTTCATGGCCATCAGTTGATGGATGTCTATGCTGTTTCCATTTCCTGGCTATTGCTAACAGAGCAGCAATAAGCTCTATTACATTATCCATTGCATGGATGAGCAAGTGTCTCTGTGGTAGGATGTAGATTCCTGTGGGTATTTTTAAATTTTATTTTTATTTTAGTATTTGTGTGTGCGTGTGCTATGGTATGCATGTGCGGGTCAGAAGTGGCTCTCTTGTCCCACTGTGTGGATCCCAGGGACGGAACTCAGGTAAGACGATGCCAAGTCCCTTTTACATTCTGAGCCAGTTCACTACCCACCCAAACTCGTCTTTTATAGCCATGATCCTCCTACAACAGCCCCCCAAGTGATGAACTTACAGTTCAGCTGCATCGTGCCTGGATTACAGCAATGAGTGATCAGTCGCATCCCCAAATCCAAGCCCTAAATCTAGTCTCCCCACCAGTCGTGAACTTCTGTGCCACATACAACCCAATAACCGCTCAAGAGCCGTTATCATTCCTCTTGGCATTTATCGTCATGAATCATAAACTACAAGCACAGAAATTAATGGGTGCATTTGTGTACACGCTCTGAACCCACAAGGTGACACAGCCAAGCACACGAGGAATGACACACAACACAGTACATCCCCAGAGTGTACATTGCTCACCACTGCGGTGACACACACAAAATAGCCACATGCACACATACACACTCAAGCTAATGGGGAGGCATATCCCTCATATCACCTACAGCCACCCTCGCAATGACACACTTTGAGGGCTTCACAGGAACAGCTATCCATCAGGACATGCCTATTCTCATATATGTCAGGCCATACATGGCCTCTTTGTGTGGCCCATAAAGAGTAACGCATGCTGTGACTTCCATGTTCTCTTTCCACCGTAACATCTTCTCCTTGAATGCACGGAAACTCCATATGCCACAAAATGTCCCCTTACGTGCACACTCCACAACAGTCATTCCCCCAGATGGGTAATTCTCTCTATGAGGATGAATGGCAGACTCACACTCAAGCCGGGTACCCCCATTTGCCATCTTCACTAGCAGGTGCAATCCCAAGTCCTTCCAGCTGTGGCTATGATGTCCTCTTATTTACTTAGAAGTGGGCGCTGTCAGAGAGGAGAAAGCTGAGGTCAGGCAGACCGGCACTAGGTCTGGAACTCCACCCCAACACACCTCCCTAGCCCCCGGCTTACGAGCGAGGGCTTTCTTCTCTAGCGCTTGAAGGGTTTTCTTGATGTCAGTTATATCTGGTGGGAGAAGAGACAGGCAAATCTGGAGTAGGGCCGCAAATAAAGCCCTAATATCATTAGCAGTTTTCAGTTTAAGTGAAGGAGATTCAGATGTTGGTGGTTCGCGGTAGTGAAATGGTGTGTGTGTGTGTGTGTGTGTGTGATTTGTGCATGTGTATATGTTCACAGTATTTGCACTTGTGTGTGCAAATGGTAAAGAAGTCAGAAGCTGGCACCAACTAGCTGTTTTCCTTTATGACTTTATTTTTGGAAACATGGTCTCTCATTGAACATGGGGATTTGGCTAGACTGGTTGACCAGTAAGCCACATGTATCTGCCTATCTCTACCACCACCACCCTTGCCCAACTGCTAGGGTTGCATAGCTGTGCCACCAAGCCCAGTTCTTACGTGAGCCCTGGGGATATAAACTCAGGTCCTCATGTTGTCCCTTACTGGCTGTGTCACCTTCTCAGCCCCACCAGTGTTCCAAGCGCCCAAACAAATCCACCCAAAGAGAGCAGGCCTGTGAAGGAATACCTTCTGGCACCGTCTTCAGCTTGTCATTTCCACTCTGCACTTTGCTCGAGACTGTAGCAATGTTACTCTTGGCCTCCCGGATGCCCGTCTGGACAGCTTTCCAATGATTGTCTTGCTGATCCTGGCACTGCTGCACCAGGCTTGAAACTAAGGGCACAGCGTTTGAGATGTTCAGATGGCCGCCCCTCTCCTGTCCCACCAGCACCACTGTGGGCCTCCTCTGCACCTCCCACTCACCATTCAGAAGCTCCACTCTCAAGCTCCACAGCTCCCTGGACATTTCAGAATCTGTTTAGGAGAGGATAGAAAAGCTTTTAAGACCCCCACCCTCCTTTTAGCCTTCTTGGAAATGGAGTTGGGGGAAGGGAGAGGTAGCAGAGGAAATTCCACAATCCCGCCCCTCTCCCAGCTCCCAGGATCACTTGCTTTTGACCAGGACCAAGGCCGACAGGATGATGCAAAATGAAAAGATGAGAGCGAGGAAGACATATAAGATCATGATGGTTCTGTGCAACCAGGGGGGGATCTGGGGTGTGTCCGGTGATGGCTTGACCTGGGCTGGGACAAAAACACAGAGCACATGACTTGCAGAGCCCAGCCCCACCAAGCAGGCCATCATTACTGTCTGTAGCATCTATCATCAGCACCGAGGACCACCGAGGACATCCCCACTCAGTGAGCATCAGTACTACTACCTTGTATTCCTTACACTGTGACCCTCACATTCCTCTCAACAAATTCTGTCACCCAAAGACTAAAAGCACAGCCAACAGCACTGCCTGAAGCATTTTCAGAAACCCCACTTCCATAGTCTCAGCTACAAAGCTGCCCCCACCAGAGTACGTAACAGTAGTGTTGGGGGGGCACTGGGTATCCTCCTCTGTCACTCTCTGCCTGTTTCTTTGAGGCAGAGACTCTCTTGTTTATTCAGCAAAGCTGGGAATTAGCACGACCCTCTTGTCTCCAGCCCTTGATGCTGGGGTTGCAGACATACACAGGACACTTGGTTTATTCTGTGGGTGCTGGAATCTGAACTCTGGCCCTCATCCTTGTGCAGCATCACTTTTAACCACTGAGTTATCCACATCCCCAGTCCCACAATCTAGTTAGTTAGCTAGTTAGTTAGTTAAGGTTTCTTATATCCCAAGCAAGCCTCCAACTCTCTGTGTAGCCTGCAATGACCTTTAATCTCTGCTTTGAGCCCCCAAATGTTAGAATAATAGGCGAGCACCCACACCCAGTTTATACAGAAATGGGGATTGAACCAGGGCATTGTGCATGCTGGGCAAGTTGTCTCCAGCTGAGCCACAACCACAACTGCATCGCCATCTTTAATGCCACCAACCCCACACTCTCCAGCACTCACCCCTCCACGTACTCCTTAAGGTTAGCGTGGGGTGGGCAAGCAGGTGTCTGCTCACCTTGTTTCTTGGGTGCTGATTGTTTGAGTTTGAGCTCTTCCTTGTTTCTGAAGGCCAAGGTTATATTCTCATAGTCAGGATGGTGAGTACCTGTGTATGGTTTGTTGAGAGGAGATGCTGAGACTCATCCAGATATTTGGGGCGTTGGTAGGGGAGTTCAATCTAGGGGATTATACTAAAGCAGGCATGAAGGACCAAAATCAGCCCTGTGATTAAGCAGTGCAGATGTCGTGAGCCCCTCGAAGAAAGGAGCTCCTCTGTCCTGACCGCTCTTACCTCAGGCTTCCTTATTTCCCCTTCCCATCCCAAGTGTCCTGACCTTCATTATGGCCTGGCTTCCTCCGGGTCTTGTCCTGGGAGGCTGATGCCTGCATTCTGCTTGGTTGGTTGAAAGAGATTACCACAGCCTTGGGCCCTGGACCTCCCAAGTGTCCTCATATCCCCACCTACCGGAAGGCGTCAAGACGGATGAGGAAATCTGAGGGTGGACGGGAGGGAAGAAGGCTTCATCTCCTGCTTTCAGGGATCCACACCAGATCTCCTGCTCAGAGGCATCTCCAGTTTCCGCAACACTCTAAATGACTCCTTTAGAGTGACAGAAGTCTCATGGGTGGCCAAGAGGGGATCCTATATGTTAGGACAGAAGAGAGATTTTGAGGAAGCCAGAGGGTCTGGGTAGAAACACACACATGGTTTTTTGCTGTTGTTGTTGTTGTTGTTGTTTTGTTTTGTTTTGTTTTGTTTTCCCCAAGACAGGGTTTCTCTGTGGCTTTGGAGCTGTCCCAGAACTAGCTCTTGTAGACCAGGCTGGTCTTGAACTCACAGAGATCTGCCTGCCTCTGCCTCCCAAGTGCTGGGATTAAAGGTGTGCACCACCACCGCCAGGAAGGCACACACATGGAACAGACAGATGGAATGGGCCTGACTGCATCTCCCTGACTTTTTTGGGGGTGGGCAGAGGACAACCCCAGCTTTTGATCCTCAGGCAATGGCACCTTGTGTTTAAGGCAGCCTCTCTCAGTAGCCTGGAGCTCACCAAGTATGCAAGGCTAGCTGGGCAACAAGTCCTTAGGCTCCCTCTTTCCACCTCCCCAGCTGGGATTACAGTTGTGCCCCGCATGACCAGCTTTTCTTCTATGCTTTCTGTTTCCACAAGAAAAGCTGTATCAACTCAGAATCTGACTTTTAAAACAGCGGCTGAGTTCCCTCTTCCCAAAACACCTTCCTTCTCCACTCCATAGCTCAACCCTGCCCCATCCAAGTTCTACTTTTCATACAAGTATCACATGTTCGTTAAAGGCTAGACTCACAACCATAAATATAAAGACTTCGGTTCCCAGCACCCACGGCTGTCTCTCCAGCCACCTTATTTAAAAAAAAAAAAAAAAAAAGTATCACATGTTAACCGATTGCACCATGGGAGCAAAACGGATGTGAGGCAAGAAGAGAAAACCACTTTGACACCACACCTACATCTAAACTGAGGGCAGACCCAAGTCCGCAACAATTGCCCTGTGCATCCTCAAGGTATTCTCCCCCCCCCCCACATGGACACACCAGAAGGAAAAAAGGCACTCACTCCATCTATCTGTTCCCCTTCCTGGTTCACACACATGCATTCACACACATGCACATTCAAACCTCCAAATGCCTTCAGTCAGAGCTTATGTATGTATGCCACACGCTTATTTGCATACTATTGTAACTATGACATATCCACATGAATATGCATGTGTATTCGCATATTTCGAGTGTCTATCGTCTAAGTGATGTCTTAAATTTTTTTTTGATGTCTTAAAATTTTTAAGACTTTAGTTAAAGAACTGCTGGAGATATCACCATCATTGGCCTCAACTTGTTCTACAGAGCTATAGTAATAAAAACAGGATGATATTGACACAAAAACCAATGTGTTGCTCAATAGAAATGAATTGAAGACCCAGACATAAATCCTCATGTCTATGGACACCTGATCTTTGACAAAGAAGTGAAAAATACACACTGGGGGAAAAAATAGCACCTTCAACAAGTAGTGCTGGTCAGACTGGATGGTTGCATGAAGTAGAATGCAAATAGATCCATATTCATCACCCAGAATAAAAGTGAACTACAAATGGATCGAGAACCTCAATGTAAGGCCGGATATACTGAATCTGATAGAAAACAAAAGTGGGAATAGCCTTGAACTCATGAGCCAGGAAAAGGCTTTCTGAACAGAACATTGATAACACAGGCACTAAGATCAATAATTAATAAATGGGACCTCATGAAACTGAAAAGCTTCCGTAAGGCAACTGTCACTATCATTCAGACAAAGCACCAGCCTACAGAGTGGGAAAAGATTTTTACCAACTACACATCCAACAGAGGGGCTAATATCTAAAATATATTTTTAAAAAACTTGAAAAAACTGGACATCAAGAAAACAAATGACCCAATTTAAAATAGGATATGGAACTGACATAGAATTCTCAAAAGAGTGGGCTGGAGAGAAAGCTCAGTGACTAAGAGCACTGGCTGCTCTTCCAGAGGACCTGAGTTCAATTCCCAGCACCCATATAGCAGCTCATAAATGTCTGTAATCCAGCTCCAAGTGATTTGACACTCTCATACAGACATAAAATCAGGAAAAACATCAATGTTCATAAAATTAAAAAAATACTAAAAAAAGAATTCTCTTGACAAAAAACACAACACTTAAAGAGATGTTCAACATCCTTAGCCATCAGGGACATGTAAATTAAAACCACTTTGATATTTCATTTTACACCTATCAGAACAATCATGATCAATAAAAGAAATGACAGCTCTTGCTGGGAAAGGGGAACACTCATTCATTGCTGGTGGGACTGCAAGTTCGTGAAACCACTATGGGAATCAGTGTGGCAGTTCCTTGGGAAACTGGGACTAGATCTACCAAAGGACCAGCTATACCACACTTGATCATGTAACCAAAGGACCACTAGAGCCTAGATGTCCATCAACCAACGAATAACCAATATCTGGTACATTCACACCATGGAATATTATTTAAAAAATTAGATAGTCAGGTAATGGTGGTGCACACACCTTTAATCCCAGCACTGGGGTGGGGGGCAGAAGCAGGCATATTTCTGTGAGTTCAAGGCCAGCCTGGTCTACAAGAGGTAGTTCCAGGACAGGCTCCAAAGCTACAGAGAAACCCTGTCTTTAAAAAACAAAACAAAACAAAAGATGCCCCCTTTGTGCCTACTGAATAGGTGGATGGCTGGTACCAAGGGTGGAGAAAAGAAAAGAAATTATGCCAGGTAGTAGTGGCAAAAGCCTTTAATCCCAGCACTTGGGAGGCAGAGGCTGGCAGATCTCTGTGAGTCTGAAGACAGCCTGGTGTACAGAAAGAATCCCAGGACAGAAAGGGCTACACAGAGAAACAATGTCTTGAAAATCATTTTTTTTAAAAAAAAAAAAAAGTGAAATCATGAAATTTTCAAGTAAATGGAGGGAGCTAGAAAAACATCATCCTGAAGGAGGTATAACCCAGCCCACAAAAGACAGATACGATATGTATTCTCCTATGTGTAGATGTTAGCTTTTTAGCCTTCAGTATGTATACTACAATCTGCAAAACCACAGAGGTAGGTATAGGGTAAGAGACTGGACGTGGGGACAATCTTCAAGGAAGGAGAAATAGAATAAGTAGTTATGGGAAGATTGGAGTGGGAGGATTAAATGGGAAGGCAGAGGGAAGAGGGAAGAGGGGGTAAAGGAGGGAATACAGGGAGGAGCAGCTAACAATAAGTGCCATTTGAGGGGCCATATATAAACCTATTCCTGTTGATGTTTCCATATATGTGTGTGTGTATATATGTGCATATATATATATATGTGTGTGTGTGTGTGTGAATGAAAGAAATGTAAATGAAGTCACAAAATAACAGGGCAACAATGCCCCAAGTAGATTAGACATCTTTCCCCACCAAGTGAACCCTCCAGTGCCAGGAATAGGTTATATTTACTTGAATTGGCCAAAAGGGCCCCCGTGCAAACCCCCAAACAACTCCAGCTACTCGTGCACATATGAACCTGTGTGCCTCCAAGGCAGATGAACTCCCAACTATTAGTATAAACTGATAGTAAGGCCCTATTTGTTGAAGACAGCACCCACATAACTCATAGAACATGGAGAAGTAGAATTGGTGTCTACCCAGAATCCTCACCCCTACTAGTGTTCATGGTACTGGAAGGTGCTCTGCCTGCTACCAAAGGAGAGGGGTAATCTCTAAGGTAGCTACAAGCCCTGTGGCCCACAACAGTGACTTCCCTGAAAGAAACACTGGTGCATTAGTGTCACAAGCATTGTGTGAGTAACCAAGCACTCTCTGCCTGGATTTGAGGGCCTGATGTGGGAGTGTCATATATCAATCTGTTGATTTCATTGGTTAAGTTATAATAAACCAGCTGCTTGGCCTCATGGCTTGGAACATAGATGGGAGGAGTAAACAGAATAGAATTCTGGGTGGAAGAGGAAGTGAGGTCAGACTCTGCTCTGCTCCCGGAGAGACTCTGCTCTCCGGATCACAGACGCCATGCTCAGCTCTCCCGGGTAGACGCGATAGCTCTGCTCTCTGAGGCACACACGATGAAGATGGATGTAGGCTAGAATCTTCCCGGTAAGCGCACCTTGGGGTGCTTACACACATTATTAGAAATGGGCTAGTCCAGGTGCGAGAATTAGCCTGTAAGGGCTAGAGTTCATGGGCCAAGCAGTTCTTTAAATGAATACAGTTTGTGTGTTGTTACTTCGGGCATGAGCTAGCCAAGCGGCTGGGGTGTTGGGAACGCAGCCCCGCCACCGCTCATATTTCAACAAGGGCCACTCCATGAGATGGTACCCTTGTCTGACACTGCCACAGTGGCCAAGAACCTGAGACTGGATTGGCCATGGGTCTAGGGGAAAACCAAATACTATTGTTACGCCAAAGAAACATAGCAAAAAAAAAAAAATGTCTCCAAACAACATTCTGCAATACCCAGCGATCAATATCTTGCTCAGCCAGTATCAGAGAAGCTTCTTCTTGTAGTAGACGGGAGCTAACAAAGAGACCCCAAACTGGACAGTGTGCACAGTGAGAAAATTGGGAACACTCGGTCCTAAATTGTAGCACGATTAATAAAAACCCAGAGGCAGATATTGGGGTTCAACCTAAAGGTCAGAAAAGCAAAACAGCCATAAAACTCCAGTCTTATATTCCTCTCTGGTGCTGGGATTAAAGGTGTGCACCACTACCACCTGGTTTCTATGGCAAACTAGTGTGACCACTGGGAATAAAGATGTGTGGTCACCACTGCATGGTCTGTAAGTCTGACCAGGGTGGCTGTTTTACTTTCTGATCTTCAGGCAAGCTTTATTTATTTAAATACAAATGAAATATCACTACATTGTGTTCATCAGGTCAAATCAGATGGAATCCCAAAACAGAGAGGGGAGAGTGGACATGGCCCCCACTACTGACCAAAAACCATCTCCACCTGACAACTGCTTGCCAAGGAAAATTTGTTTCTCTCAAATGGAGTCTCACAGGCTTATGAACCATACTTAGGGGAAGGCACCAGGCACAGGAAGAACTCAGTGGTGTTTTTGTAGGCTTTTTGTTTTATATTTTTTAATCTTATGGGCCTTTTGCTTGTACATTATTCTTTTCAATTTTGTGTTTTCATGGATTTGGGGTTTATGAATTTTTTTAATTCTTTGTTTTTGTTTTTGTTTGGTTTTGGTGTGGGGGGTGAATGCATGTGTCTGGGCACATGAATCAGAGGTGGTTGTTAGCTGCCCATCACAGGTGCTGGGAAACTGACTGGGGTCCTCTGACGGAGCAGCAAGTACTCTTAACCTCTGAACTCTCTCCAGCTCCCACTTTCTCCTCTCTACGCAATCAGGATGTTCAACAGTGAAATGTTACCACCTTCATTCAGGGTTTTCCCCATTGATTAACCCAATCTACCAACCCCCTCACAGGCATGCCCAGATGTGTGTCTTCTAGGTAACCCTCCATCCTGTCAAGTTAACAATCAAGATTAACCATCACAGAGTTATTAATTCGACAAACATTTTATTGCATTTATTTATTATTTGTCTACTGTGTGTGTGTGCACATGGTGCACAGGCACCTCAGTGCACGTGGAAGTGAGAGGACAACTTGGAGGAGGTTCCAGGAATCTCTCTCAGATCACCAGCCTCGCAGCAAACACACTCCCCACTGAGTCGTCTCACTGCCCCTCATTCAATAGACTCACTAGCACCCGCAGGCCGTGCTTTATTCTGAGCTCAAGATACAAGAGAAAAATTATCCTCTGCCCTGGGCTTTTCTATCTAGGATTCCTGGGGCGGGGAGGAGAAGGGTAGGTGCCCTGGATGCCTCTGATTCTAAGTAGGTATTTGACACTGCATCCACAGAGGTGAAAAATGGACTTGAGAACTATGGATCCCCCGTCCTGCCAAGGTCCAGTCTCATCTGTGATGGCGAGTGTTGTTTAAGGCTAGCCTGGATTACATGAGACCCTGTTGAAAAGGTGGGATAGGAGGAAGGAAAAGAAAAAAGAAACAGAAAAGGGGATAGAGAGAAAAAACTTCCATGTGGTACAACACTTCCCACGCACCTTCTTCTCCACTAAAGAAACCACACGAGGCGCGTGTCCACTTCACCGATTCACCTTTATCAGCAGCAGCAGCAACATCACCATCACCCCATCCTCTGTTTCCAGCCCCTCATCTTGGACTTGCTCCCTGCCCTCTCGCCAGCCCCATCCCCCTGCCCCAGCACATGGCAGACCAACTCAACTCTCAAGACCTCAGGCACCAACCCCCAGGGCACAGCAACGGGCTGCTGTCCAATCTATGCCTGCACACTGGCAGTGACACGTTGTTCCCTCTCGAACATCCCACGAGCCACAGGCAGAGCCACAGGAGCAGCTGGTGACTGCTAAGCCTGCAAGGAGAGAAGCCCCTGAGAAGCTGGGAAACTGCAGGAGTGGGCGGGGGAGATGGGCTGAGGAGGCTGGAGGCTGTTGCCCAGGAAGTAGAGGGTAAAATGACTGGGTGGGGGGCTGATGGAGACCTGGAGCTGGGCTGGGAGCAAGAAGACTGGAGGGTGGGACAGATTCCTAAGGAAGTAGATATCGAGGACCGAGACGAGGAAGCAGAGGAGTCTCGGGGGATGTCCAGAAAGTCTGAGCAACAGTTTGCACTCACCTTCTGGGCAGGAGGCCAAATCCCCTCTGGAAGAGACTGTCCGGCATCGGATGCCACCGCTGATTACTGCTTCTGACCCTGCAGAAAGGAGGGCGGAAGGGATGGTAAAACGAAGCTGTCCCAAATGCATCCTTGCACGGGGAGACCTCTGGGTTTGACACTAGCAAAGGAGTCAAACCCTTCCCAGCAGAGTGGGGAGATGGCTCAGTGGGTAAAGAGTTTGACTCACAAGTGCGAGGACCAGCGCTCAGATTCCCTGAACCCACCTAAAAGCCAGGCAGGCATGCGTGGGGACACCTATAAACCCAGCGTCCAGGAGACAGACAGACATGGGGTCCCCAGAACAAGCTGCCTAGACTCTCCCAAGCCCACAAGTCCTGGGTTCAACTGAGGGACTCCGCCTCAACAAAGTAGAGAGAAATCGGGGATGATGGCTCTACATCAGCTTCAGGCATCCCCATGCCGATGCACACGCATGCACCTTCACACATGTGCACCACATATATACACACACAGGTGCAGCACACTTGTGTATAGTAAAATATTTTGTCCCCCGAGAGGATAAAATGGTGGCTCACACCTGTACGCCAAACACTCAGGAGACTGAGGCAAGAGGAACAGGGGCTGGAAGACTCCTTGAACTGCAAATTGAAGCCTTTTGGGGGTGAGGGGAGGTTTGGGGGGGATGGTTGGAAGAAGTTAGGTTGTGGGTTGGAGCTGTGGTTCAAGGTAGGGCAGGGTGGGGTGGGGTTGGAACCTGCAGATTGGTTGATTTTGAGGCTGACGTTAGCCTTGCGGCTGGGTGGGTCTGTGATGAGACCCACGGGGATGAGATAAGCCTGTGAGGCCCTCAGCAAGGTTGGGTGGGGGGCTCCTCACATAGGGAGCTGAAGCCTTGCTTGATCTTCTTGTCAATGGCTTTATCCATGGAACAGAGTGACCTGCTGGAGTCCAGCAACCCCGGGACAGGGAAGAGGAGGAAGAGGAGAAGCGAGAGGTTTTTCATCCTGTAAGTACTGCAAGAGACAACCAAGAGCCCCACCTTAGGTCAGACCCTTCCCACGCTGGAGAGAGCCAGACCACAATGGCCTTTGGTACCGGTGGGACACAGGAATGGACATTCAGTGGCCCTAGGTACCCCACATCAGAGCTCCGACTAGGGAAGGGCTGTCACTTACTGTGGCAGTGGACTCAGCGGGACACAAATCAGGTCTGGCCATGAGCTCCTGTCCCACAGCTCCTTTTTGTAGACCTCTGGATGGAACCCGTCCTGCCTTGGGTAATAAGTCCCTTGGCCCCTTGGCCCTTGCCCTCCATTGCCACATCTGGGCCAAGAGAAGCAGACTCTAGAGACCCCAGAGGAGGTACTTCCCTCCTGCACAGCCCTCCTGCATCAGGTACTGCTCAGGAGGTGATATCTGCGGATAACTCCAGGGACCAGAGTGGGAGAGGCAGGGGTAGGAGTCAAGGCTTTACCTTCAGGAAGGGGCTGGACATGCAAACTGAGACAATGTCCCTGTGTGACCACAGCTACCGTGTATGCTTCTTTGTTTGGTTGCAGACATACTCTGTAATCGAGTCCTACCACCTAAAATCTAGACAAGTGCTCAGTTGCTGAGTCACATCCCCAGCTCCTCACTAGGGGATTCTAGGCAGGCCCCTAGCTCTGAACCATGTCCCCAGCCACCCAGTAGAAGAGTCTCGGCAGGTGCTTTCCGCCTGTGCTACACCTCCAACCCCTCAGGGCTGTACCCTGCGCAGATAGTCTACCGTGGAGCTTCCAGCCCCAGCCCCTCACCACAGGAGTATAAGCAGGAGCTCTACCAGGAATTCAAGCCCCCAGCCATTCTTGGAAGGTTCCAGAAGTCACTCTAGCTGTCAGCCATCACCTAAAGCTCCTCACTGGAGGATTCTAGGCAAGCACTCTACTTCCTGGTGCAAGAATCAAGGGATCCTTTGGAAATGCCTCTTTATCACATGTAATTTAAATGATAACCACTGGGTGGTCATAGTTCTGGTCTGAATACAGAATATTCATGTGTATAAATGACTCAGTGGGACTGGTTTATCTTCTCACTTTAAAAATATTATTTAGTGGGGACTGGAGAGATGGCTCAGTGGTTAAGAGCATTGCCTGCTCTTCCAAAGGTCCTGAGTTCAATTCCCAGCAACCACATGGTGGCTCACAACCATCTGGAATGAGGTCTGGTGCCCTCTTCTGGCCTGCAGGCATACACACAAACAGAATATTGTATACATAATAAGTAAATAAATAAATATTTTAAAAAATATATTATTTAGTTGTTATTGCATTGTGTGGTTGTATCTGTGAGTGTGTGTGTGTGTGTGTGTGTGTGTGTGCACCATGCCTAGGTGGAGGTCAGAGGATGACTGAACTCGGGTTGTCAGGCTTGCAAACTGTTGGACTTGGACCTTGGACTTGTTGCACTGGCCTCTCTCCATCTTTTTTTTTATTTTCTGAGACAGGGTTTCTCTGTGTATAGACCCTACTGTCCTGGAACTTGATTGGTAGACCAGGTTGGCCTTGAACTCACAGAGATCCACCCACCTCTGTCTCCCAAGTGCTGGGATTAAAGCTGTAAGCCATCACCCAACTCTCCCTCCATCTTTTAATTAGATGGTGACTGATGCAAAATTGAGATCGGCAGAGGAAATTATAAATTGGACAAATGAAAAGACTTTAATATGCTGGCTGTGATGGACAATCTTCAGGAGTTGGTTATCTCCTACCATGTGGGTCCCAGGGATTAAACTCAGATACTCGGGCCTGGAAGCAAGTGACTTTACCCAATGAGCCATCTCATCAGTCCCAGTACAGTATTATTAAGCAGGGCAAGGCACGCACTTGTAATCATAACACTTAAGAGAGAGTTAGAGGCCCGAGGCTTGGGAGTTTAAGATCATCCTTGGCTACATAGTGAGTTCCTGGCCTGCCTGAGCTATATAAGACCCTGTCTCAAAGGCCTGATACTGGAATTAGAGTATTATGACCATAGCTGGGTTTTGGTGAGGACTGTTACCACCATCACTATGATGCAGCTCAGGGGAGGGAAGAAAAAAAAAAAACAACTTTAACTGGAGTCAGAGAGCTGGCTCATTCATTAAGAGTATCTACTGCTGCTCTGGTGGAATTTAGTTCTAGCATCCGGTAGCTCACAAACACCTATAAACTCCAGTACCAGGAGATCTAACGCCCCCTTCTGGCCTCTGTGGGCACCCGCACTCACATGCACCTATATGCACACAGAGACATATATGGAAAAGAAAAATCTTCAACTGGTAAGCCTAGGGCTGAGCCCTGTGACACCATCATGTCAAAGGCAAAAAAAAAAAAAAAAAAATCCCAAGGCAAGGCAAGGACAGGATCTCCCCAGCCCATTCCAGTACAAGTTGTTCTTTGTCAGCTAGTATCTATTGGACAGGGGGCTGGAGAGATGGCTCAGAGGTTAAGAGCACTGGCTGCTCTTCCAGAGGTCCTGAGTTCAATTCCCAGCAACCACATGGTGGCTCACAACCATCTGTACTGAGATCTGGCGCCCTCCTCTGGCGTGCGGGCATACATCGAGGCAGAATGTTGTATACATAATAAATAATAAATCTTTTTTAAAAAAAGGCCATAATTCAAAAAAAAGAAGCTAGAAGACAGCCAAGATGGCCATACCCAGGGGAATCTGCCCTGTGCCTGCTTCATCTCAGAGGTGGGATGCATATTCTCTTAAAACCCATCACTCTGGAAGGGGAGCCCATTGACACCACTGAGCTCATAAAAGGGCAGAAAGATGGACACATCATTCTCAACACACCCAGACAGTCCTCTGGCCTGGAGGGAGGGTATCTTCTTTTTCCCTCTGTTAAGTATTTGACAAGTTTTGTTTGTTATACTTGAAATAAAAAGCTTGTACTTGCCAGGCAGTGGTGGCGCACGCCCTTTTAATCCCAGCACTTGGGAGGCAAAGGCAGGCAGATCTCTGTGAGTTCGAGGCCATTCCACAGAGTGAGTGCCAGGACAGGCTTCGGAGCTACACACAGAAACTGTCTCAAATAAACAAAAACAAAAACAAAAAAAAAAAAAAAAAAAAAGCTGTGCTCCCCTCGCATCTGTATTATTACCTATAGGCTCATGTTGCTGTTGGTTTTAAAGAATTATCTTTAATAATGAAAGGCAAAAAGAAAGATTTTCACAATGTGGCCAGTGTTGTTTCTGCCTTTTGTACTTCTAAACTTCTAGTTGTGTGTATGTATCTGCTACATGAGTGCCATGCCCATGGGAGCCAGAAGAGAGCACTGGGTTCCTTCGAACTAGAATTACAGGTGGTTGTGAGCCACCATGTAGCTATTGGGAACCAAACTTGGGTCTTCTGCAAGAGCAGCCAGTGTCCGTCTTGGTTTTTGGATTGTTTATGTGTTTGCTTGTTTGTTTTCACGGGTCTCATGTATCCAAACCTGGCCTTGAACTCCCCATGTAGCCAAGGGTATGAAAAGAGTAACCCTGAACTAATTTTCTTTATATTTTTATGTGTATTTATATTTTATTTATGTGTATAGGAGGTTGTGACCCTCGGAGAGCCAAAAGTGGGTGTCAGGCGTGGGTGCTGGGACCCAAACACAGGTCTTTGAGAACCGCAAGCATTCTTAACCACTAAGCCATCTCTCCAGCCCCAACCTTGAACTTGTGATCTTGCTGCTTTCACCTCTCCAATGCTAGGATTCCAGTCTCCTCTGCCAAACTCCATCTATGTTGGACTGTGTTAAGCCTGGCACCTTGTTTTCTCCAAGCTACATCTCCACTTCCTCTTCACCTTGATTTAACAAAGTCTCCCAATGTTAAAAGGAACCCCTAAACACACAACTTTACAAAAAAACCACTTCCTTAAATTGATCTTGTGTGTGTGTTGTATGTGCAGGACTGTGTATGATGTATGTGTCTGTGTGTATATGCAGGCACATAGATGTAGAAGACAGGTGCCCAGATCCATCACCCCCGGCCTGATTCCCTTGATGTGTGATCTCTCACTGAACCTGGGCCTAGACCAATAGTCAGTGAGCCCTGCAGTCCTCCTGTCTCAGCCACACTTACGGCTGGGGCTAGAGGCAAGCACACAGCTAACTGTAGCTTTTCACATGGGTGTGAGAGATGCACACTCAGGCCCTCATCCTTGAGCTCTCACCCACTGGGCCATCTCCCCAGCTACCGTCCTTGCATTTCTACTGCCAGGAGTAACTAAAGTAAATGGGTCATGGATTTATGGAGCAACTTAAAACTTCCTCCAAAAGAAGAAGTCTTGAGGGAGGGAAGGACCTTCTGGTTACCGTTTCCTGGAACGAAGTTGAGCCATCCTTCCAACTCCCTCCTCCCATCTCTTCAGTCTCTGCCATTAACTCCGATGACTACACATGTACCGCAACGCTCCCTTTCAACTCTTGCAAGAGTCGTGTGCAATTTTACAGATGGCACAACTGATGTCACGTGAGGTGGACGCACATTCAAAAGGCTACTGGGACAGCTGGGGAGTTGGCTCAGTCAGTAAAGTGCTTGTTCTGCAAGCGTAAGGATCTAAACTTAACTTCTCAGCATCCACATTAAAAAAAAAAAAAAAAAAAACTGTATACCTATAATCCCAGTGGTGGGGAGGCAGAAACAGGAGGATCCCTAGGGCTGGACAGCCAGAGTCTAGCTTGAATCAGCAAACTCCAAGTTCAATTTTTAAAAGAATCACCCTGCCTCAAAAAATAAAGGTGGAGAGTTAGGGCTATGGCTCAGGGGAAGAGCCCCTGTCAAAAATCCCTCAGTGAGGGGCTGGGACATGGCTCAGTGGTAGAGCTCCTGCCTAGAATACCCAGTGAGGAGTTAGGTTGTGGTTTAGAAAAAGAGCCCCTGCCTAGAATTCCCCATTAAGGGGCTGGTGTGTGGCTCAGGGGGAAAGCAGCTACCTAGAATACCTCGTGAGGGGCTAGGGCATGGCTCAGGGGAAGAGCCCCTGCCTAGAATTCCCCAGGGAAGGGCTGGGGTGTGGCTCAGGGGAAGAGCTCCTGCCTAGAATCCCTCAATAAAGGGCTGGAGATTGGCTCAAGGGTATGCCAAGACCTTGGGTTCTATCCCACGCACAGCGCACAAACACAAGATAAAACTGTGTACAGCCAATTACCATGTGCTGCTAACCTTAGACCCAGAGGACATCACCCTTGCCTCAGAAGACACCCTTTCCCCTACCAGGCCATTCCCTCACCCCAGACACATTTTCACAATGTTCTTGGCAGCAAGGAGTCGTCGGTCAACTTGTGTTGCCAGATTTCAGCAACTTCAACAACACAAAAAATGTTCTGGACGGAGAATTTGATGGCTACTTTTGATTATGGCTACTGTTTCTTTTTTCTTTTTTTAATTTGTGCAGCAGTGAGGACTGAATCTAGGGCCTTAACCATGCTGAGCCAGTGCCATACGGCTGAGGCACGCTCCACCCTCACTTTTGGGTTCCAAGCAGGGGCTGTACTTCTGACCCATGTCCCCAGTTCCTTTCTGGGAAACTTCAGGCAAGCACTCCACTGCTAAGTCATGCCTACAGCCCCACCTAACACCTTACCTGGAGAGTTAAGGTACTGAGGGCTAGGAACATCCCCTGAGAGGACAGCATAGGCCCCTTGATGTGAGGCAACAGGAAGGATCCAGCAAGTGCATCATTTTCCTGGCTACTGATCACTGAATCAAATTAAAACGGATGCTGTTTGTTTACGGAAAACAGGAAGGCAGGGGTGGGAGCCCGTAGATGCTAGGGGACCCATTATGGAAGGTGCCAAGGAAGCCAGCAATTGAACCCGGAGTGTGGGACCCTCCACAGTCCGGGAAAACAACATGTAGCAAGTAATGCTAATGCAGTGACACTTGAGCTAAGGGGAGGTAGCAGGAGCGCTGCAGACGCAAAGGCCCCTGGGACAGGAACAAAGTGTCACAGGTTAGAGGAAGGTCAGCAAGTTCCCCCGAGGGGTTTACCCAGGTAACACAGGAAGCAAGAGTGGACATTTTTATTCTCATAGAGATTCTTTGTATTGTGGAAGGTGTGCCAAGATATCAGATGATGACATTTACTATGGGGGACAATTAATACTTGCAAATCAAGATTTGTGTCTGGTACAGACACTGTACTTGGCTAGTTTTATGTCAAATTGATACAAGCTAGAATCATCAGAGGAGGGAGGCTCAACAGAGAAAATACTTCTTTTGGACTGTAGGCAAGCCTGTAGGACGCTTTCTTAATCAGAGATTAATATGGAAGGGCCCATCCCATTCATTGTGGGTGGTGCAACCCTTAGGCTGGTGGTACTGGGTTCTATAAGAAAGCAGGCTGAGCAAGCCAGTAAGCAGCACCCCTCCATGGCCTCTGCATCAGCTGCTGCCTCAAGGTTCCTGCCCTCACTGCTTTTGATGATGAACTGTTATATGGAACTGTGAGTGAAATAAACCCTTTCCTCCCCAAATTGCTTTTGGTCATATTTCGTCACAGCAGTAGTAACCCTAAAACACACACATCGCTTCGAGTATCATTAGAAGTTAAGGTGGCTGCCTGGTAGTGGTGGCACATGACTTTAATCTGAGCACTCGGGAGGCAGAGGAAGGTAGGTCTCTGAATATGAAGCCAGACTGGTGTACAGAGCAAGTTCCAGGAAAGGCTCCAAAGCTACACAGAGAAACCCTGTCTTGGGGCAAAAAGAAAAAAAGAAAGAAAGAAAGAAAGAAAGAAAGAAAGAAAGAAAGAAAGAAAGAAAGAAAGAAAGAAAGAAAGAAAGAAAGAAAGAAAGAAAGAAAGAAAGAAAGGAAGGTGGATCTACCCCTGCCTTTTAATCCCAGCACTGCCCCCACCCCCACCCTGGTCCACATTGTCTCACAGTCAAGACAACATAGTGTGATGAGATTTTTTTAAAAAAAAGTGAGAGTAGCTTGAGCAACAGAGAGTTTTGCTTCTGTTGAGCACCAAGGAATAATCCTTAGTCCACTTAAAGTCACTTAAACCCTGATTACAATCTGGAATGAGCAAAGAAACTGGAAAATTGAGCTGCAGCACCCCCTGGCGCTCGTCTTGCTTAACTACACAAACAGATTCTGGAAAAGAAACAGTTTTCCACCAGATCGTAGAGCTTACATTTTTACCTTTAGAATTACCTCCCATGCCAGAAAACCCCAACACTTCCGAGCCTGAGGCAAGGGGATAGTGAGTTCCCGGGCAGCCTGAGCTACAGAGCAGGAAAAACACCCTTCATCTCCCTCCACTTAACACCGACCCCTTCCGCACTGAATCTAGGACAGCTGGTCTCACGGGGTGGGGGTGGGGTAGGTCTGCGACGACCCACTTCCT